AAACCGTATTATTATAATATATCTCTTAAAATAAATTTAATAAATGCATGTTTAATTGCACATTTTTTTTTATCTTACAATTGTAATAACGATTATACAGCTGCGAATCTAGATCTCATGAAACAATTGAAACCCCAGCTATTATTAAATTATTCTAATTGTCAATAAAAGAATTAAAAGGATAAATCCATTCGAATTCACAAACAACTTGAAAGTGAGGAGAAAAATCGGGAAATTATAGTTTTCAACCCCGATCTCTCGAATCAGCTGATAGCACAGAATTAAACGGTGCCACCACCTCGTTTGAGACAGCTATCGATGTATGTACATGTTGTATCTCGCTATAAACCACGAACTCGTGCGAAATGTACTTAACGAGAGCTGCGAGAGCATATGTATCGCCGCGCGCGTCACGCTTGAAGAATTCGCACTAAGTACGTGATGTTACAGTCGCGTTACATGGATCGCCGTTAGAAACACTCGGTGCGTGAGCACCGAATGCCTAAGTCTTCTAATCAAATTCGCCGAGATACTATAATACTAGCCATTCATTGTCCTCCCAGACGTTTCTTTTATTTGTGGTCGCATGAATCCTTCACAATACAGATGTTTTTCTAGCTTATAATATTCTTATATCATAATTTCTTGTCATCAAGATCTTTGGTTTTAACGATAGCGTGTATCTGGCATTCGGATACTCTTTTTAACTTTTTTATGCATCCTTATAATAGATCCTCGCCGTTGTATATTCATTATCATCGGTATAGACCGTAAATCTTTGGCGTCATTGACCTATGGTACCATAAATCGTCGATATAATCATGGATATACTCGGCTATCGCTTAGGTGGAACCAATAAATCATTGATATTATAGATCCTTTGGTAGCACAGATAGATCAAGATACCGCTACTTCTGTGTAGCATATAGATCTTCGATGCCATAGATCTTTGCAGCTTATATTCTCAATATTGTAAATCTTTAGCATCAGAAATTTTATATCGTAAATGTTCTATCATATTTCTTTAGCGCGCAATATTTTGCATAAAATGTTAACCCTGCCGCGGCGGCCGGGATCTTCCCATACAATCACGATTCTCCAGCTTCCGTTTTCGATAAGTGTAATATGTATTCTTCGTTAATGTATCGATATGTATGAAAGCGTCACTACCGGAGGCACGAAAATGTCGCATTTAATCCACTTTCGAAATGCGTGTCCCACAGGCGCCAAACGCGTAAACCGGACTGTGGAAGTGATTTCACATGCAGCCGCCAGAGACGATGTTACATTAAAAAAAATCCCATGTGCATGTAAAAGAATTTTGCTAGCTCGTGAAAGCGTATCCTTTGATCTGTATTCGCCGAGGCACATTTTTGATTCTTCGAATACGTTTCTTCGTCGTCCCCTCGCGCGGGAAGAATATAGGGACCGACACGTCCACACAATTTTCTATTAGAAAACTTTCTAATACCTTTCTCTAGCAATTGGCATCGTTAATACCATATCAACATGAGATCGATGAAGTGATCGTTGATTAACATTGACATGGTTGCAGATTGATTGTTATCAATCGATTTAGAACTGCCACTCTTATACATATCCACAAATATAATTCTTAAATAGAATCAATTATACAAATTATTGAGAAGTAATTACAGTAGATTAACTTACGGCAAAATGTGCAAATCCTATCACATTGTAGTCTTGTTAAAAATTAAAAAATATGATACGTTAATTAGTAATCTATTATAAAATGTAATTTTCGAATATAAGCTTACCAGTCAATTTTTGAATTCCAACTCTGAATTTGATTTTAAATAATTTCTGTTAACGCGCGCTCCAGTATACAATTAGAAATCTATAAAAAATAAAATACATGCAGACATGTGCGAGAACAACTCATTCGACAAACTGACAGCTTCCAAGAGCGTTCGGCGGTCTAGCGTTAAATCGCCTTAGCGGAGCTACAAATGCACGCACGCACGTGTACATTAACTATCGTACTGCACGTGCAGTCGCATACACGCAGCCGTCATAATTGACACTTCAAAGTTGCGCGTGTTTTTTTTTTTTTTAGCGTTGCGCCCCTTTCTTTCGCGCTCGCCGGGCCAATTTAAGCTCGCGCTCACGTTCGTGCTGGCGCGTCCCTTTAGAGGCTCGAAAAAATTTACGACAACGTCTACGTAGCATTAGCCGGAGTGACAATAAGCGAGGACAATAATCCCGCCGAGTCACGAACGCCCAGTAAGAAACGAGTCGCCACGTCTTGAGTGCACGTCGTTTGTGCACTTGCTCTTATTATCGGGTTGTCGCGCATGAAATGTGAGTTTCGCGTCAACCTCAGATAACCTCGGGAGAGAAATTAAAACAGTGCACGCATTCTTCCGTTTTAACGCTTGTTTAACTTTGCGAAACTCTGCTTTTAGCTAAACGAATCGTAATAGCGAGAATTAATCGGCGCCACCTTTTTATTATTTTTTATTATTTATGATATTTGTTTCATCAAAACAACATGGTTTATAGATCTGTGGAGTAAATGCTAATGCTTTTTAAACTCACTCCGAGGCCCAGTTTTTCATTATCTAGTTAATTCTTGTGGTTGAGCTTAACCTGATGTTGCACTTAATGGGCTTCATTCATGACATCATCATAGGTGAAACCCATTAGATAAAACATTAGGTTAAGTCTAATCACAAGTCAACAAGATAATAAAAAACCGAGCCTAAAATTGATTTGAATCTAAATAATATTGGGCATGAAATCGTCGTTAATTTTTTCAAAACGACAAATTTATTAATTTATCCTCATTAGCACTTCGACACCACGTTAACATAACTATTTTCAGAGGTATGATATTTATGAGTTTCGTCATCGTTAAGAAGTTAATTCATGATATACACAATCATCCCCGCCCAAATTTATCGTCTTGTCTGCCGAGGAATGATAATTTTCAATATTTGCGGCTACGCTGTTCTCGATCAATTTAATCCATGTAATCCCGTAAATTCAGATTAAAGTTGTCGCGAATATTTTCACACGGCCACTTCGAATGTTGACTTCGTACCAGCTTCGATTCGCTGTTTATCTGCCTGCTGCGTAAATACTGCCACTCGTAAAAGTTATCATGACTCGTTAATCTTCCCGAGAAGGGAAGATTGTTCCTTTCTCCCGTACGAGAAAAGCCATGTGCATTCTCATTCTAATGCAATATCTACGCCTATGGCACTTCCTATCACCCTATTTCACGATAGATACGTCTTATCGCGTTTTCGCGTAGATACCAAAACGACGATACGACGAATGTCTGTTTATAGCTTTCGCCTGTTTAATTATTTCAAATAGAAAAGGAAGGAAGAGAGAGAGAAAGGAGCTGCTTCAAAAAGTGCTAAATAAATGCGATTATTAATAAATAAAAATGTACTGAACTATTTAAGAGATTAATTATACACGATATATCCTTTTCTGTGTTATATTGGGTTGAAGGAAAAGTTCTGTATTTTATTAGTTCAAAATTATATATTTTACATTAAATAAAAAATAACGATTATACCATTCGATAGAACAAAGTAAGTTTCAGCTTTAAGAATTTGATTTTTTAATTGCGATACATTGTTTTTTAACGGAGTTATGTGCAATTAAAATTAAAATGTTCCTTCACTTAACACGCGAATAACTTAGAAACAAAAAAATCGTAGGAATATTTTTTAAAAACAAATTTGTAGAAAAAACTTTAAGCTTTCACGTTAGATAGTCGAAAATTTTTGCAAATTTGGTACATGACAGTACCACAAAGTGAGAAGAAAAAGTTTCTTTTTTTTTCAGTACGTAGTTTTCTATTATGTAAAAAATTACTATATTCACATGAACTAGAAAATTACAAAAACCTTTTGAAAGTAGAGATTTTAAACTTTAAAACCTTTTATTTAAATTTAAATGTTGCTCATTTTTGACGATGATATTATATTATATATATAGTTTTGAGCTAATATATATATAAAATTTTTCTTCCAACCTAATATTATATATTAATTCCTTTAGATATTTTGTTTTATTCCTTTAGATATTATGTTAATAATGATGGGCATACCACAGTTTGATCTTATAAGGTCAAATTCCATCGAGAATTCAATAATTCCTTATCGGCATGGCTATTCAATACATCATGATGAATTGACAGTGTAATATTGCAGCGATCAAATGTTAGAACGATCTACGTCAAAATAATGAAAGATCATAAGTTACAGAAGCTATTTGTGTATGGGTCATCTTTGCCTCTCGATTTCAATTAAAGTATTACACCGCTCACGAAACAAAACGATTAATAACTATCATATTAGATGACTATTGTTCGAATTGGAATGTCGAATTCATTAACAAAAACGATTGCTGCTACAATTTTTTATAAATATAAAAAATTTGTATTACAAATTGCTAGAATTAATAATTTTTCAATTTTTTAATAGTGAGAGAAAACACATACTGCTTTTACTGATTTTTACTTTTTAATTTATTTTGACAATCCTCTGATAATATATTTTTGCTGTGTGCACTAATAGCAAAAATTCCGATTTGAAAAATTCTGGCCTTTTGAAATAGCTATTCTTCGAGCTATCCTGAAAGGATATTCCTTATATCTTAATTTTGTTATTCACCGCTAATTTAATTTCAATCTTTACGAGGTTTAAAAGGGGGTTTTAAAACACGTGCTTACTAGAAAGGAAATGTCACAGATGCTAATCGCGCACGAGGTTTCGTCGGGAGAACATTTATGATTGTGTTCCCTCCACACGTATCCTGTGTTTACGTCGCGTTTACGCAAGGTTTACGCTAACAGAACGAGTTTCCAAAAGCGGACGATTTCTGTTTCAGGGGCGCAGTATGTGCCCGGCGCCGGGCCAAGCGCCGCACCCCAAGAAAGGACCCGTAGTTTCGAACACGCCCCTACATATCCTCCACCGAGAATTGACAGATATAGGGGTGGTGCGCAGATACAGAAGAGAATGACTCAAAGGGAAGACGTTCTCAAGTTCGAGCAGGGCCGCATTAAGGCCCTGCAAGAAGAACGTCTTCACATCCAGAAGAAGACGTTCACGAAATGGATCAATTCGTTTCTGCTGAAGGTAACGCTTCTAACTGTAATATTAAAGAATGAAAGATTTGCATAAAGCAGAGGTTGCAAATGATAAAGATTTATATTCAAATCCACTCTCAAAGATATCTTCGTAAATAGTATTAACGGTATTTTTTCACATTAATTAATCTTGATGTATGAAGCTGCTTTCGATGAATAATTACAATACCTTTTCGTGCGTGACATATCCTTTTGAATTGAATTATATCGAATTTTGATCTGACTTTTTAGGCGCGTATGGAGGTGGACGATCTATTCACCGATCTGGCAGATGGCAAGAAACTACTCAAACTATTGGAGATCATCTCCGGCGAGCGATTGGCCAAGCCCAACAACGGGCGCATGCGAGTTCACAAAATCGAGAACGTGAACAAGTCCCTGGCGTTCCTCCATACCAAGGTAATACATATTCCCGCAGAGCATGGCTTGTCTCCTTCTTCTTTTTCTCTCTCTCTCTCTCTCTCTCTCTCTCTCTCTCTCTCTCTCTCTCTCTCTCTCTCTTTCTCCGTCTCGCTTTTTCGGGGTCTCGAGTGTGTGTTTCTCCTGACGTTGCTCACTCTCGAAAACCTCTCGAGTGCGAACGATCAACTGCGCCGCGGTCCAGCGTGGTTGCACGTGTTCAGCGCGCGAACAACTTTGTTCGGCGGGGAATAAATAAAGGCCTCGAAAAAGCTTCCAAGCCAAGAGAGTGCCGGATAAATTAGCGAGGCAACAAGCAGGTCCGTTAAGTCACGCTCGTAATTCCTCTGTTGAACCATAGATCGCCGAAACGTACATTTCGATGCAAATGTGCTAAAGATAAATACACAATGTTAAATTAATCCCAGACTTACATTTTTAATGCGTATATACGGTATATGTGAACATAATAGACATAAGATATTGCGGTATTAAATACCATAATGTCTCGAAGTCGTCACGGTGATAAGAATAGATTTGCCGATGACTCGCATATACGCACCGTAATCAAGTATCGCCGTATTAACGCAAAGGAATCATTCGGATGATTAATCTAACAGCATTCCAGCTGTTATTTCCTATCTGTCTAGTAGCCCACACACGCATATCAGTGCGCGCTGTCTATGCGACGAAGCCAAAGAAATTCTACAGTCTAGATCTGACAAGAGATTAAGAGACCCACGGGCGATCGTTGCGGGCGAGTTCGCGGACAAGGCGGTTAAAGAAATACGATGTGCGACGCGTCGCTTCCGGTAACACGAGGATCGGGGCCACCGCGTGATTCCTGTTGGTCTCTTTGGAAACCGACAGGCCCGATACAAACGCCGACGCATCACCGCGCCTGGTCAATGCCTTCGCCCGCGCGCTCGTCTTACGTTACGGCTTCGAGTTTTATACTGCACCTCTCTCGGTCTGGTTCCGCGAACTCCTCTCCTTGGCATATACACGCCGCACGTAGTGAAACTATTATGTCATAAGCCACGAAGCATAAGAGGCCATTCACGAGGAGTTTACACTTACCGGGCTTCGTTGCGACGCACCGGTGCCCACCGGAACGCGCGAGCGAGCTCGAAAAAGAATACCGCGCGAAGATACGTGGAATTGCGAGGCGCGCAACGGCGGCGTACTTGAGTGTACATTTTAGATGAAGTGGCATAATTAAGTTTAGATAAAATTAGATAATACAATTTTTAAGAGAGATAAGGCGGAGCCGAGCGTACGATAACGGTTCTCAGCTTTAGTTTTAGCAAGTAACTTAATATATTTCTGTGAACTTCGGCCATTTTATGCAATCCACTAATGAAATTTATATTGCTGATGTAGAATTAACTGGTACAGATTGCGCGATAACAATTCTTGATGCATACAGCAAAATAATTATTATCTAATTAAGAGTTAATTGGACTGAAAGAAATATATATTATATATTTTATATACCATATATATATATATATAGATGCTCTTTCCTTGTACGAGCGTTTATAAATTGTGAGATTCCGGTCGTTGCAATGCGTGATACAGCCTTAACGCGTTACCGTTTATGGAAACATATCTCAGCGGCGAAATGCTCGTGATGCTCGGCCGTATACTTTTTACTGTGCAAGTACGTGTTTTATCGGTACCGCGGTAATATGAACGTAATCGTTAGGCATCGTTATGAAGTCGTGCGTTAAATCGTTGTGTCCGTACAACGGCCGTGCGCCGATCGCGTGCGATGAAAAACTCATTGTCCTTCGCATATAAGGTATTGGGCATGCGACATCATTATTCGTTCGAAGAGGAAATTTCATTTTTCTTCAACCTTCAAGATAATTCACAAAGGGGATCAATTTAAGAAGCGTGTATTTCTGTTTTTCATAATGCTATTGTTGTTTGTACTGAATCGATGTAATTTAATAATTTATCCAGCTATTCTGCAATATGTGGTCGCAATATAAAGTAAACTTTCACTTAGATTTTTGCGAGAAAAATTATTATGCCACGACAATAAAGGCTTAATTTAGGCATGCCAAAGTTCTTTCAGCGTAACGTTTCGAGTTAAAAAAAAAAAAATGATCCTAGTCAAATTATTTATGTAAACTATCCGCATAATTTTGGTGGGCGGAATGCGACTGCATTTGCGAGCAGTGATCCATGGCGTTTGCTAAATAATGCATGACGTCGTTTACCGCCGTGTCTCGACGAAGACCATCATGGTAGGACGAGCGATGCGTGTTTCCGCGGTGCAACTTTTTGCAACTCCGATCGGCGAAGCAAACGGTACATTCGTTGCGCGCGCGATGCAAAAGACGATTTTCACCGGTTTCTCGTTTCCCCCATTTGGAGGAGAACGGAGGAAAAGCCACGTTTGGCTTTTCCTCCGTTCGCTTACTTCTACCTTAACGGTCTTAAACGAGCAAGTCTTCTAGCACGAGCACTTCTCTAGTCCGGTATATAACCGGCAGAAATTGGCATTTTTACAGTTCATTGTAAGTTGTAGACTTATACCTAATTATAGCGGAAAGAAGAATCGCTAATAATTCAGCGACAAGTTTTTTTTGCTCAAATAAACTTTCGTATCTTTCTTCGCTTCTTCTTTCAGGAAATTCAGATGTGACTTTATATCAAAATTATAAATTCAATGAAACTAAATATAAGATTAATTATAACATCCTGGACTTCGAAATTATTATTCTTCAGTGAGAAAACGTTCCAATTATAATGATTGAACCTTAAACAAAATATTTGTCAAGTTGAAGTAAAACTCATTTTAAAATTAATTGGAATACAAGGCCTCTATTGCTCGTTCGTATCTCTAAAGCTTGATTCACCGAAACATTTTAATTGCCGGCAATAACTCAAGAAACTTGGCGTCGAGGCAACCGTTATTCTTCTCAGTTCGGCCTCTGTAAGGCTCCGCGAAAGGAAAGGCGTTTACAAAAGCCATTAGACGCGAAAGGATTAAATAAAGGCCACACCGACGACCACGCCCGAGCGTATGTCAAATTTGGTTCGTGCATTCGAGCGCCGCATGAATCGATCACGGTCTTTATCGCACGGCTGTCTTCACGGTGACGATCCATCTCCCACGTGGACTCCTCGAAAAAGGACACGAGTTATTTCTGGAAGATGATACCGTCCGTTACGAGCAAACATACCGCATGCTTCAGCAAATCCCTCCTTCGCCTAAAAGGATGCTTTATGACACTACCAACACAATTCGCTTCTGTTAAACGCAGCAATCGAGCGAAAACTCTTTAAACAATCATTCAGACCACAAAAAAGAGTTACCTATAATAAGCAGAAACTGTTTTGAATAAAATTAATTTATTTAGAGCATCTCTAATATATTGATTTCATATTATAAAAGTATCAATCAGTTCTTAAAATTTAAACACTTTCTCCTACTTTTTACTTTTACGACGTGTTCACATAAAAAGTCAAGGAAATTTTCGCGACAAAATCGGTAATAAAACGATCATGCTTTCTCGCATCGAAAGTATACTGAAAAGTCACGATCTAGCTCGAGTTTCTTCCTGCCTCTCGCACGGTGTTGTAATAATGATGCTGGTTGGTAGGAATGTAAGACAACGATTTAAATAATGAGCTCTTATTATGGGCAGAATTAGCCACATCGTGTCCGTAATACTTGCATAAGTTTTCCTGTGGGTGGATCTAAGAATTTGTATTATGGCGATATAAAATCAAAATAAGATTCTTTTTAAATCAATAACTATATTTTTGATGTAATAGTAAAGAAACAAGTTTCAAGTAAAACAGCTATGTAATTTATACATTAAATTACTATTGTAATATAAAACGTATATCTCAGATAGAAAATTGTTGAGCGAATACTCGATTAATGTCTAGACGTGTGGTATTTAGCATCATTTATCATATCGCAAAGTACAGAATTGTTCCGAAAGAATGAGTATTCAGAAAACAATGAAGAGTACGCAGAGGTTTGGAATTCTTGAGACTTGCCAGAAGCGCGGCGTCACGGTTCTCGTGTCTCGCCCAGAGGCTCTTCTCAGGCACCCACAAGAATCCAACCCCGAAGTAATTAGGGAGGTATCCGTTGGACGTTCTGAGAAGAAGCGATCCTTCTCGCGCGAAGCTGTCGGTGCGCGTTGCACGCACGTCTAGGAAATCTGTGCGAAGAAGTGGAAGGAAGAGAAATGAAACAGAAAATGCTAAAAAGAAGAGAAGCGAGAAGAAAGAGAAGGCATGTCGGACTCCCTCCGATTTTTCCTGCTCCTTTTCGGCTAATTTTCGCGACCCATAAGTTGGAAGGCAGGACAAGAAGATATATAAGTGAGTACGTGAGGAGGAAGACGTAAGTCCGATAAAAGCCGAGGAGGAGGAAGATGAGAAGGAAGAACGGGAAAGACAAGAGCGCGGGGTAGTCGATGGAGGACGAGGGAGGAAGAAGAACGAGAGGTGGAGGTCAGCGACCGGCAGGCAAAACTTGCTAGACCGTCGCGAAGCCTTGCAGATGTGAAATGAAACCAGATGGTACTGTCATAGAGAGAAGAACACAACAAGAGGGAGCACATAGAGGTACCTATTTAGACAAAGGTACAAAGTTTGAAAAAAATTCGAAGCAATATCGCTGTGTAGAGAGTGATTTTGGATATCACTTTTTTCCACGATTTCCTCGTTATTAAAATAATTGACTCTATTGAATACGAATTGATAAATAATTAGTATGTACTGCGCTATATATTTTTATTAAACGTGCGTAGAAATATCGATGAAGTATCCTCGATTTAGGATTTCTAATTTGCGGTGGTTCTCTCGGTTGTCTGATTTAGGTATCAAACACGTAGCCATAGACCGCAATTTCCTGCCGCCCCTCAGGCATCATTCCCCTAATGCTATTCTCTCCGTTCTGTTGTATTCTTCAGACACGTCGACCTATGCTGATCTTCGCGTGTTAGACAATAGCGTTTAGAACTGTT